TAGATGTTAGATATACATTATTTAATTACAGAAAAGATTTAGAAAAATGGTTACGAAAAATTAGAAACAAAATTTAAAATGTGCTACTCCACACACATATTTATTGATTTGGTCCTGTTTTCACCTAAAAGTGAAAATCCTGTCTGGGATTAGTAAACCAAAATAGGGGCTTCCTTTCCACTCCCCATCATAGGAAACAACCATTAAGAAGTTACGTGTTGCTTATATCTTTATGACTTCTAATGAGATGAGATTTGTCAGAATATTTTTCCTGGTCGAATATGGACCAGATCTGCCATTTTCCTGAATAAGCAGAACCAAATTCCTTGTATTTCCTTTAACGATCTGAGCAGTTGCTGCTAAGCTTTTGTTATGTCACTTAAGTCATCATGGTTGAACATGTTAGGAATTACTAAAACAGCACCAATTATTTTCTTTCTTTTTTTCCTTTTTTTTCTCTTCAAGAGACTCAGGTACAAATAAGAAGACTTGGGGAAACTTTAGAGTAGCCAAATTTTCTTTTCTTCATAGATGTCTTTGAGTTTCATCAATTTGTAAGCCTATAATGGGGGGGAGGGGATTATGGTAAAGAAAATGAAGACTCAGGGAAAATGTCAAAATTGAAATATAAACTGTTTAATAAGGGATTTGCTTATATAACTTTCTAAAGATGCCCTCTTTGTAAATAGAAACTTGGTGCTAGTAGTTTTTTTTTTTCCCAATGTCTAGGAAATATCTCCAAATACCAATAATAATAATAGCATCCAGTGTGCCCAGCCTTTCACATTCATTATTTTCTGTATTCCTCACCTATTTGAGATAGGTACTACAGTCATGCATCACTTAATCATGGGGATGTGTTCTCAGAAATGCATTGTTAAGTGATTTTATCATTGTGTCAACATCCTAGAGTGTACTTACAGAAACCTAGATGGTATAGCCTACTACGCACCTAGGCTATATGGTTCTAATATTATAGGACCACTGTCGTATGTGTGGTCCATTGTTGACCAAAATGTTGTTATGCGGTGCATGACTGTATTATTATCTCCATTTAACAGAAAGAAATTTAACAGGGAGACACAAATTTAAAAGAAGTTACTTGCTCAAGATCACATTTTAATTGGTGGAGCCTGGTTATCTATTTAGTTGTGTTAGATTCCAGAGCTTGGGCTCTTAACCCCTACTGGGATACCAGTAAAGAGAGTGATACGTGAGTCTCAGGGAGGGAGATAGGTTGTATATCAAGAAGTGCCCTTCTTCCATTATGTGCTGCAGGTTGTATAGCTACATCACTTTTCTACATCCAAGGTTGGAAATGGCATTTGACAAGCTTCTACACAGCTAAGAAAGCCTAAGAGGGTGAAGGTGCATGTGATGTGTAGCTTCTGAGATTTCCTGGGCCTGGCTGGTTCCTTCAGTAGGTACATTTGGTCTCACATCAGTTTTTCAGAGCTGCCAGTTGCACTGGCTGAGACAAAATAGGGACACACTTCATTTTTTCAAACTTCATCTGCACTCCTGAAGTCTTGACTGCTAATTGTACTCCCTAGTTGAGCTTACTGGGTAAAGACAGGAATATGATACCTTGGATGGGTGAAAAGGGGATGACAGACGAGGGACATCACAGGACAAAGGTCTGTAAGTGAAATACCTTGAATCGATCATTTACCTGGTGTTTTCTCTCTCTAGGAAATTCACTCTTTAAATATGCACTGAGGAGACTTCTGTTCCCAGGAAGATGAAGTAGACATCCTTTTTCCTATTTCTGCCACTAAATAAAGCTAAAAACTCTGGACATTATGTATAAAACAAACATATGAAGATTCGGAAAGTTGGAAAGAAGACAGATCGGCTAAGGACCTCAGGACCAGTAGAAAGACATGGTAGTGAAGTCTCTAGATTTTCTTTTTGCTTTATAGGTCTCTGGTCAGGTACTGGAGAAGCTAGCAATCCAGAAATTCCAATGGGCTTGGACACAGTCATGGGGAGGGGAGAACACGTGGGGAGTCTGGACTTCCACTCGCTCCCACCCAGTAGCTACAAGGTACCTCACCCCCAGGGTCAGTGGAGGGCACATGGAGAGCACTAATGAGGTGCCCCTGGAACTTCTATCTCTATCTTGGCAGTAATGAGGCAGCATCCTCCCTTCCTCTGAGGGAGTGGTGTCAGAGGAGGCCTGCTAAAATACAAGATTTAAATAAGGTCCAGTCTTTTTAATATAAAACCCAAAATGTCCAAGAATCAATGGAAAATCACTCATCGTAACAAGGAAGACCTCAACTTGAATGAGAAAAGACAATCAACAGATGCCGAGACTGAAATGAAACTGATGTTAGTATCATCTGGCAAGGATTTTGAAGCAGCCACCATCAAGGTACTTCCATGAACAATTACAAACATGCTTGAAACGAATGAAAAAATAGAAAGTCTCAGCAAAGAAACAGAAGCTACAAAGAAAAACCAAATAGGAAAGTTAGAACTGAAAAACACAACAGCACAATCAGTGCACTTGAGGATAGAACACTAGAAATTACTCAGTCTCAACAACAGAGGAAAAAAACTAGGGGGGGCCTGGGGTGGGGAAGAGCCTCAGGGACAAGTGGGACTGTAAGAAAAGATCTAACACTTGGGTCACTGGAGTCCCAGAAGGAAAGGTGAAAATAGATGGGCTGAAGGAGTATTTGAAAAAATAATGGCTGAAAACTACCTAAATTTGGGAAAAGATATAAACCTATAGTTCAAGAAGCTGAGCAAACCCCAAACAGAATAAACCCAAAGATATTCATGCCAACACACATCATAGTTAACCTTCTGAAAACTAAGGATGGAAAAAAAATCTTTTTTTTCCCCCTAGATTGGCCATGAGCTAACATCTGTTGCCAATCTTTTATTTTCTTCTTCTTCTGCCCAAACTCCCCAGTACATAGTTGTATATTCTAATTGTAGGTCCTTCTTGTTCTGCTATGTGGGACACCACCTCAGCATGGCCTGATGAGCTGTGCTAGGTCCGCGCCCAGGATCCAAACTGGCAAAACCCAGGGACACTGAAGCGGAGCGAGCAGCCTTAACCACTCAGCCATAGACCCAGCCTGGAAAAAAATCTTAAAAGCAACCGGCGAGAAACCATCCATGAAACGCTCTGATTTTTGGCATTAGAGGAATAGGCTGGTTACCAGCATTTCCTGTTGATTTCAACTATTAGTCTTCTGCTTTTAACTGGACTCAACCAAGCCAAGATGTACAGAGCATTTACATTTACAAATTATGCTGGGCACCTGGGGGACATTTATCACCCCATTCTTCTTATAGCTGCCCCACTGCAGGTGTTATCCCTCAGAGCAAATTAAGGAATTCCAGAATTGGAAAGAACCTCAAAAAAAAACAGGAAATCAAGAGTAGAAATTTGTAATTTGGGATTTCTGGATGGGCTTCAGCTCTGTGAACTCCCTGAAATTAATCTAAAAATGCCAGTATGTATGTGCTTTTTTCTAGGGAAAGGACCATAGTTTTCATCAGCTTCTCAAAGGAGCTGATGGCCCCCAAAAGGTTAAGAGCCACCATAAGAGTTTCTGTTCTTTTCAGGCAAACCCATATAATCCAACCTAGATAGATTGGCTAAAAAAAAAAATGAGGCTAAAAGTAGGGAAGATATTCCCTATCATATCCATCAAAATTCCTGAATGCCACCTCATGATGATTCTCTATTTTTAAGGAGAAAATAGGAAAATGACAGTTTCTAATTCCTTCTAGGCACTTCTGAAAATACACGTGCATTAAAGAATGTTTGCCTGTAGTCTTATTTTGAACATTTTAAAAATAGTACCTGGAGGTGACTACATGACTAATGCACTGTGATTTAAAATGTACTTGAGGTTTGATTTCTCTCAATGCCATTGGAAGAGTTCAGACACACGAGGAAGCCACAGCAGCCTCTCTACATCAGTACCAATGGGCTGGTTTACAGGCCACAGGGCAAACTGGCCTTTTTCTGCATTCCTTTTTCCATCTTTCAGAAAACAAAAAAAGGCATGTAAAATCAAGTTCTACTACTTACACAATGTGTAACTGCCAATTTATCTGAACAAAACATGTTAGTGCTTTCTCCGGTGAAAAAACAAAAGAACTATGACAAATACAGATCCATTCAGTTTCTTCACTGTCTTGATAGCGTGGCTGTCCCTTACTCCTTGACTCCTCTGCCAAATCCCTCATGCAAGCCAGCTCAGTTCACATCTGTATTGTAATATACTGTAAACAGGATTGTAGATTGCTCCTGCCTGTTTTCCGACCAAAATTAAGGCTCCCAATGTCACCTGGAGAGCTAGAGATTGGTTAATGCATTACCTTAGGGAAAAAACTTGACTACCTGCTTCCATTAAGACCCTAAAGTAGTTTGACTTACTCAGATTATTCTATGCTGGCTGCATCTATAGAATCAAAAGAATCAGTGGGGGGCCCTTGTTAAACATAGATTTCCAGGCCCCAACCTACAATTACTACAACACAACCAGGACAGACACCTGGGAATGTAAAAGTTTTACCAAGTTCTTCAGGTCATTCTTGGGTACAAACAAGTGAGAGTAGTCTTCTTAAACTTGAAGGTGCATACAAATGACACTGGGCTCTTCAAACAAATGCAGATTTTGATCCAATTGGTCTGGGTAGGACCCAAGATTCTGGATTTCTAACAAGTTCCCAGGTGATATTGCTGATCTGAGGGTACTTTAGGTAGCAAGGTCAGAGAGGGTATGTCTCATCTGGCTGGTGTATAAATCAGTATGGACCACTATATTTTCTTTCTGTATTTGTGGATTCTCTACCAGGGGCCTCTCCTGTCTTGATGCTGCCCATTTCTCATTTTTTGCTGATTTGTGTCTCTACAAGCTAGCGTGACCAGTTAAGGTAAGGCATCCTGCCCCTCTCCACTTAGCTTATATAAAAGTCTGTGCAAAGATTGAACAGCTTAACCTAAACAGAAATGCACACCACACATTAACTTACAACATAATGGGTTTATATTTAATATAGTATTTCTCACTATGGAGATGTTAGTTAATATAAAGTTTTTTTTAACATTAAATCGCTACTCCATTTCAATGTCAATATAAAGTAATTTTTTTACATTAAATCTTTTCTCCATTTCACTGTTAGATACACTGAATACATTTTTTAACCTTCTTCCCACCAAAGAAATAAAATTTTAATTTCGGACTGACTGTATATCATATCTAAGTACAATATTAACTTGGGAGATAACAAAAACAAAAATATAATAAAAATATGGAGAAAAGACTCCAAAAAGATGCAGGGGGCAGTGATTACAACTGAACAGTGGTGATTTCCTAGGATTCTGGGCCAGAGCTTCCTTCTTCCTATTTTATGTGCTTTGAGAATTCTGAAACTATGAAATGTTACATATGAAAACTTCAGCCCTCTTACTTTGATCCTCTTTCTAAGCAGCAAATACAAATTATAGACTGCATTTGTCAGTACATCATTTGTTGGGAAACTTTTCTTTCCATTTAACATATATCAATTTGTTCCCATTTATAGTGAAAACAGTTAATTAAGAATGTGAATTTACCCTATTTACTGTTTCTTGGGAACTTCCAGACACCAAAGCTCTGTTTTTAGCCTCAATAGCACAAAGATTTTCAGGGCAAGGTTTGATTCAGGAGGCTCTTCAAAGTCACATCTGTCCATTTCTCTTTCGTGCATATATCCCCAAACAAGCACAAATGCCTGTAACGCTGAGTACCACACCTAACAAGAGAGCAACTGCATCTCCCGTTTCTACTGCTTCAACAACAGGCAGCACCAAAAGCAGTGAAATGAGAACTAAGAACACTTGAGTTGAAACTGAGGTCATGATGCTGGGGTCTTCAAGTGGCTGGATCTTGAGGGCTGAAGGTCTCTAGAAATTAAACATGAAAACAAAAAGGAACCATTAAAAATTCCTACCTTTTCAAATGACAATATGAACACATGACAAATAATGGTCCACACAACCTGTTAAATTTAAATTTCAGACCCATGTCTTCATTTTATGGTGGAAAAAACTGAGGGAAGTAAAAGGTACTTAAAGATGCTCATTTGAGACTAATTTCCCCTTATGATAACTCCTTGACTCCAGCGATTTTTCCACCTATAATAATGCCAACACCCAGTGAATAAACCAAACAAACTCAACAGCAGAACAGAACTAAGAACAAACAGAAAATGCACAACACACTTACTTGGAAACTTAAAGTATCCTAGTGAGTAAAAATTACACTTTCTTAAGGTCTCTCCCATCCAGGAAATGCAGACAAATCTGGCAAAAGTAACATAACATATAATACCATGAAGTTGTGGGGAATTAGTACGACTTACCAAAGAAACGATATATGTTTAATTCTATCTGACTTGAAATACTCCTTTCTTGGAGCTCCGGATGCTGAGACTAAGAGCTTCTGCGTGACACCGCCTATTATCAGAGGAGGGTAGGATTTAAAAATTACTCATCATCACCATGACTATTCCTATTATTATCACTTTAAGAATGCAGCTAGAGTCAGCGCAAAGCGGGGGCGTTGTACAGAAGGAGAGAAATGGGCAATAAGTAGGGAAAATAGTTAAGCAGGACAACTAGACTGAAAGTTGGTTAGTTCGCCCACACAGGAAAAGCTAAAAATAAATCGAACCGAGAGACAAGTTCGTTCCAGGACTCGACACTAAGATTTTAAAAAGAATCTCTGCTTTGGCCCGGCAAGGTGCAAATTTGCCTTCTGTTTTACAAACACACTGGGCCAATCTAAGTACCCTTTGGAGACGAGCTTGTACATTACCTTCCACGAAGCAGCCATTACAGAAATGGCGAGGAGGGCGGAGTCTCCAAACTACATTTCCCACAATCCCCACTGCTGACGACTCCCAGGATGCACCGGCGCGCTCCCGTGTAACTGGCTGCGGGATGACGGTCACGCTCTGCTGGAGACGGAGGGGAGTGAGCTCACGGGGCTTCCCCACGGGGCCCAACATCTTACTGCTAAAGTGGTTTAGTGTATTTGTACAAAAGCTCGCTTAAAAGTAAGATCAAGAACTGACGGCGAGTGTTTTTTACCCCGTTCAAGGTTTCAAGACTCACCAGTAGTTATGTCCTTTTCTTTGACTGAAATGAAGACGTAACAGCTGGATGAGATACCAGAGCAGAGCCATCCGTTTCGGACGCTTCTAAACCAGCGGCTTCCAGCGTTTCTCAAGCTGGGAATCAATCCCCTGTCACCATCTTCCAAAACTGCCTGTGACATTTGTTAATTCTTCTTAACCAATGGGGCAAAAACACGTTTAATAAGACGTTTTGGGAAATGTTAAAAGCATTTGTAGGGAAAAACAAAGTTTAGGAAAAATGGCTTAAGCTCTGTAAGCTCTTTGATTCAGGTTCCAGAGTTGTGTGTTTCCTTATTCCGGAGCGCCGTATATGGTACACTTTAGTGATTTCTTCTCAGTCATGTTTTTATGACACCCATCCCAAATATCCCCAAATATTTACGAAAAGATGTAAAATTGTTACTTTTAAATCGTACGAATGAATTACATGTGTAAGTCTTAACCCTTTCTGAAAGGCCTTCTTGAAGTCTAATATCAGTGAAGTCCTTACTGAACGTTTTTAGTCACCCAGTCTCCTGAACTGTCATTTACTGACTCAACAATTTGTTTGGCAGCTTCAGATTGTAAATTGTTAATGATGTGGGTTAGGGATGAAGTCGCCTGCTATGTCTGATAGTCTGTATCTCAGATACAGCAGTTACATTCAGTTCAACGTCCATAATTAGCGTCGTTGTATCGTTGGTTATCTTTTTTCTTACGCATTGCTAACCTCTCTAGACTGACAGCAAAACTTTATATTCCTAGCTCCTAACACACCCCCAGAGGTGCTCAATAGTGTTGGCTAATAATAATTATTTGGCTAATAATAATAAATGTGCCAAAGATTTCATGACAGACAAAGAAGTGGCAAATAAACCAAACCAAGTTGTCTTGCAAATTGGAAGACGGACAAAATAATGTTGTCAGTATTGCTTCTCTAAACTTGATTATTTTCTGTCTTTGCCTCATTTGCCTTGAGCTACTTTTAGTTTTGTACCTTTCTAATCAATTGTATTTGAAATAGAAGCTTTTTTTTTATGGTTTCCAAAATAGTCTCTTGTATTCCAATGTGAACAGTTTGGGCATTTAATTTTCCCTCTATGTTTATTTCAGTTAGCTAAAGTCAGCAGAGACTACTTTAACGTTAGTGTTATTAGGGCTTGTTTCTAGGTGTGTCAACATTGAAGACAGTGGTTTGGTTTTAAGTATGAAGAGTCTATGCGTGGTAAAATGCTTTTTCTTTAAATTAATATATTAAGAGATCAATTAATGACCTGGCCCATCTGAAAAAAGAATGGCAGAAGTTTGTGCAGGGATGTTTTGGGCCCAAGTAGTTTTAAAATACAATTGGTTAACTTTCCCTAACCAGTACCCACCCCATCAGGCAATTTAACAAAGACATCACGATATATGCTTCTGTGGACTTTATCTACAGTCCTACTTTCCAAGTAGCATGATATCCTCATTCTCAGTTTTCTCTTCTTACTACCTTAGTGATTAAAAAAAAAAATCAGATCATTTACTCCTTTGCTTAAAACTCTCCAGTTCCATCACATTAAGCAGAAATCCAAGCTCTTTTTCAAGACCCACGAAGCCCTACACATTCTGGCCTCTGCCTGCCTCTCTGATGTCAACTCACCGCTCACTCATACTCATTCCATTTCAATCACACTCACCTTTTTGTTGTTTGTTAAACATGCCAATTTTGTTGTTCCCTATTGAATTTGCCGTGGCTATTCTCTCTCCGGGTAATAATTTTCCCACAGACTTTTTATTGGCTGTTTTCTCACCATCATTCAAGGCTCAGCTCAAATTTCACCTCCGTTGCTGAGCACCTCACAAAAGATAGCTCTCCCATTACCTTCTACCCACTTACCTGCCTTATTTTTTCCTCATAGTGCCTATCACTAACTGAAATTATATTATGTATGTATTTGTTTATATGTGCAGTAGGTATTTAGTTCCTCTGTCGACTTGAGGCACCGGGATCTTGACAACAAATGTTGATTAAGTCCACCTTGATCATGTATTTTTTCCTTAATCTCTGAAAGGGTTCTTTTAAATACTTCTTAATGTTGGACGAGCAGTATTGGTATTTTTGGTGGGACAGTGCTTTGTTGTGCAGACACAATATTGCAGGATGTTTAACGTCCCTAGCCCATGCCCACTAAATGCCAACAGGATCCCCCAGTCCTGAGGACCACCTACTGCCGTCGCACATTGCCAAATGCTCTTTGGTTGTGGATATGGATGCTGTCCCTTGGTGAAAACCACTCAAAATTTCATGAAGAAAGTAAAAGGAGTAACTGAAAACAGAATGAAACCAAACAGCAAACAGTTCACACACACTTGAGTTGTGTACATACACACTGCCCCCTCCCCCTACCAACACTACAGTATCTTAATGATTTAGATCCTCTTCCTCTTTGGTTCTGTTGGTTTTATGTTTTCTCTTATCTCAGATTCCCTTCTTTTTCCTATCAGCATCTCTGCCAGACAGGTTCCACTGGTCACTTTCTTATAGCAGCACTGATATGCAGATTGAAGTGATAGTTCTGCTTCTATATTGGCCACTCAGTTTAGTCTTTAAGCTGCAGAGAGGTGGTTTGATGTGGTATAAGGAATATTAGTTTTTCCTTTGCTGGCTTTTGGATTTGGATATTTAGTTAATCTCTCTGAGACTCAGTTTCCTTTTACAAAATGTATTGTATGAGGGTTAAATGAAATGTTTCTAAAGTGTCCAGAGCTCAGTACTTCTCACTTCCTCCTTTAATTGTATTTTTGTTTCCTCAGTCAGTGGTTAAGAGTTATAGTCTCTGGGGTCAGACTGCTTGGTTAGAAAGCTAGCTACGCTGCTTACTAGTTGTATGACAATAGATAAGTTACTAAACTTTTCTAAGACTCAGCTTATTCATCTATCAAATGGGGTATAATAATACCTACTTCGTGTGTATATTATTGAAGATTAAATATATCCAGAAATAAGTTCCTGGAATTAGTTGCTGGCATGTAGTAAACCCTCATTAAATAGTAACTGTTGTTACTATTGGCTGTTAATCCAATCCATGAGAATGAGGTCTCCAGGATGTGGCTTTTCTCCATTGTGAACATGCTCTTCTGCAGGCACACACAGTAAATAGAAAATGCCTGTGGAACTCTTGGATGCAGAGGCATTTTAGGCCTCTTAGGCTTTGGGTTGAGGGTTGAATGGAAAACATTCCTCGATTACTTTAAAGCTGTGGTGTTTATGACAACAACCATCTAGTTGTTCCCTGTGGGGGGTGAGGGGGATTTTACTATTTAACTATTTCATACCCACTGGAGGTTATATTTGTACTTAAAACATATTCTCCACTCAGCTAGTGTTGCATCAGTAACTCATCATATTACTGATGAGTAATATGTGAAGAGGGGTTTTGAAAATATGGTTGATAGGGTCTAGATATGGGTAAAGAGCCTCAAGAAATCATTCAACTCAAATGATCTCTAGGATCACTCCAACAAAATCCAGCAAACAAAGAAACACACTCTTAATTCCTCTTGAATTCTTTTTATAATTACAGTAGCTAATCTGTAACTCTGTACTGCTTTCTCCATAAATTGCAGCAAAGGAAAAGACAGCGTTAAAAGCTTTGCTAAAAGAGAATTATAAGAATGGAGACTATGGGTTCAGAGGAATGTATTACTCTTGATAGATTGTTATGGGGTAATTAATTGCAGAGCTTGTAGGACAGAAGGAAATGCTTTTATATTACTTCCGAGAGATGGCATGCCACACTGTTTTGAATATGGTACCAAGATTTTTACCTTACCTCCTTGGCTTTAGTAAGGTCCAGTGTCTGAAGAAGATAAACGTTATTCTTCTTACAACCTGTACTTAGAACTCATTTGCTTGTACTCCATAGATGAAGGAACTCTGTTTTGCCAAGTGGCTTCAAAAAAATCATGTTTCTTTTTTAAGTTTGTCTTTGACTTATAAGTCAAGGGTCATATGGTGTATACTGTAATTGGAGATGTTAACCTGGGCATTACTAATGTTAAATGATGTATTGGCAGGGATGAATTTCTGGAATGCAGTGAATATAATAATATCCTCCACTTCTTTGACCTGAGCCTGCCTTTTTGGTTTTTAATGTGCCTTCAGTCTATCTTAATGAACTGTTATTTCCCAGCTGTAGCTCAGATTTAGTATTCTGTCTAGATCACTGACCAGGACAATAACTGCTATGTTGTACATGTATAGTTCCTCTTCTAAAAGGAACTATCATTTCTTTAGCAGGTGCTAGACCGATGAGCAACTTCCTCTGTGGCCAGCATCTGCTGGCTACAAGTTCTGCCTTTGAAAGTCTCTGGTAGCAACATGAACCACCATTCTTCTAAAGCAATGCCACATTCATTTTCTTCCCCAAGCTGTCTGAATGCTTTGTTCCTCTTTTGGCATTAAGTATCTGGGGTTATCCAGAATCCAGAATTTAGTCTTTCAATTCAAGAGAACATACGCCTATGCCATCCTTCACTAAAATAGACATCACTGGTAGCCAGAGACAAAGAACATTACTTTAGTCACTTATTGAGCAGTGGAGGGCAAAATTTTCCAAGTCAGTTGCTACCAAGAAATGGTTTCGGAGAAGAAAGGAGAAGTGGCTTCTGCTTATTTTATAACTCAGAAGTGAGTCATAGCTAGACGCTGAAGGAAGACACGTCTGGGATCCCATCAGAGGAGGCAGGATAGATTGACA